GCAGGAATGATGCACGATTACCGAGTTACTCTGCAATTAGTCCATCTTATCTTTTTACACTTAAAATAGAAATTCTCGCCTGCTCCTCCTGCTTTCAGAACATTCAAGAATAATTCTGCAACAAATCTAGACCGCAGTGTTTTCTCTCCCCCACTCCCTCTCACTCAGGTGGCATTGCAGGAGGAATAGAGATCTGTATCACCTTCCCCACAGAATATGTCAAGACCCAGCTGCAGCTGGATGAGAGAGCGAACCAGCCGCGGTACAGAGGGATAGGTAGGTCATTGGGACATGTATGCAAACTACAGATTTGTGTACAAGTCTTCTGTTGCTTTACTCACTTTTGGGGTTCTGTGTGTGTACAGGAGACTGTGTGAAGTTGACCTTGCAATATCATGGGCTCAGAGGGCTGTATCGAGGGCTCAGCTCCCTGCTGTATGGATCAATACCCAAATCTGCAGTGAGGTGAAGTAGCACATAATCAATAGAAGTTTTTGCTTCACAGATTTTATGTAAAAATGTACTTCATAATGTAAAAAAAAAAATCTGTAGCAGAGAAACATCTTTTTGGTGTATAGCACCTCAGATTGACAGATGATGTCGAAGCAGTGACTCTACATTTCTTGGCAGTGGTTCAAGCAACTAATGATAATTTTCTTGAATTATTTATTAATCATTTAGTCTGACACATCACAAAACAGTGAAAGTGGCAATCATAACTTCCACATATTTTGTTTTGTCAGCTGTCCAAAACCTAAATATGTGTAATTCCGATTAGATTCAGATAAGCAGCTAATACTCACATTTAAGAAACTGGAACCAGCTGATTAAACTTCTCTCAATTGGATACTTGCATAGTTACGGGAAATGGTCTACTGAGTTACTGAATCAGTTGTTTGGAGCAAAAAAATATATAAAAATCTAATTGAATCAATGAACAAACTATGGATTATAGTGGGATCTGTCACAAATGTTTATCTGTTGTATTTATTTTGACCTTTGCTGCACTTAAATGTACAACCTTCCCCTCTTTTCCTCAGGTTTGGCACATTTGAGATACTCAGCAACCCGATGCGAGATGCCACAGGTCGGCTAGACAACACGCGGAGCCTCGTGTGCGGTTTAGGAGCGGGGATAGCAGAGGCCATCTTGATCGTCTGCCCCATGGAGACGCTCAAGGTCAGTGGAGCATGTATTACTGTGACAAGGTCTTTCCTTGTCTGCTTTATCAGTACTAATCTGAGTGGATATTGGTCTGATCAAATGGTTCTGTCCTCGTTTTCCAGGTGAAGATGATCCATGACCAGTGTTCCCTCAGACCTCGCTTCAGAGGCTTCTTTCATGGAGTCTGTGAGATTATCAGAGAACAGGGTGAGAAAGCAGGATGCAGCATCATAACAGGGCTCTTATTTAATTTCTCTGCACCTTATTAACAGTTTTAATACACAGAACTGTTTACTACATCGTGTGTACTGTCACTTTGGCCTTGCTGCTTTTTATTGGCTATTGGTAATGAGTCTGTAACTACCAACATGCATAGGTGTAGTTTGTGCTTCATCATCAAACATAATCTAACTCATTTAGGTGTAAGGGGGACATATCAAGGTCTGACACCGACTGTGCTGAAACAAGGATCCAATCAGGCCATCCGATTCTACGTGATGAATGCACTGCGCAATTGGTACAAAGGTGAGAAATTCTAACGTCCATGTCCTTCTTTGACCACTCTTTGCCTTTCTCTGTCCAGCTGACTGATGCATTTCCCAGCTAATTCCTTCTGTTCTCTCATGCTTTTGACACTTTTAATCTGGACTCTAAGGGGACGACCCCAGACGAGAAATGCACCCAGTTGTCACAGCGATGTTCGGAGCGACAGCCGGAGCTGCCAGCGTGTTTGGAAATACGCCTCTGGATGTGGTAAAGACTAGGATGCAGGTAGGAAACAGTCTCTGAGTGTTGTTACTGGCAACAGGTTTGCCTTTGCTAAGATCTTGTTAGTTTTTTTGTTTTGTTTGTTTTTTAAGGGATTGGAGGCACACCGTTACAGAAGCACAATGGACTGTGCCTTCCAAATCTTGAAAAACGAAGGGCCACAGGCGTGAGTAACCCTGATAGTTGTTTTGCACCATTTAATTTCACTACTGTAGGTGAGCATCCTTACTTTGCATCTTCTTGCCCTGCATTGAAGGTTCTACAAAGGGACAGTTCCCAGACTTGGCCGCGTGTGCTTGGATGTGGCCATAGTCTTCGTCATCTACGAGGAGGTGGTCAAACTACTCAACAATGTGTGGACGACTCAGTAAACGGGGCAAGGCAGTGACAGAGGCCCAGAGGAAAGCACAGACCAGTGCCTCATGCTACATATAACTGAACACCTCGATTCTTGGTTGCACTCATTGCCCTGAGCAGACGACACTTCATCCTTACCGGTTTCCACTCGGTTACATAAAATAACTGGTTGGCATGACTTAATCCAAAAACGGTGATTAAGGCAGGGAGAGTGAATAGTCTTGTATTTCTCACTAGTGATCAGACTAAAATGGGGACATTTTATCTTGAAGCACAGGAAATGTCAAACCCACATGAAGATCTTGTGTTATTCTGTACTGACCAAACTTTAGTCTCATTACCTGAAACAAGTATACTTCGAAGGAAACTAAACCTCTGTAACAAAAGTTTCCAAGACAGGAAAGGAAAAGGGGCAATTGTTTTAGTTTTCTGACTGTTGTTACTCTATACTGTAGGTTATAGGGTGAGCACTTTGTAATGAAATCATAAATCTGCTTCACGGAGTACTCACTATACCAGGGGTTTTCGACCAGGAATCCATACCCCCCAGTAGTCTGTGAAGGTATTGCAGGTAGTGCCTGAACATTCATTCAATAATGTAGTTTCATTGTAGGAATCGCTATATTATAAATTTAATTTTAAACACATTTCCATGTTTTAGTTTACAAATAAATCAAATTCATGCAAATGTATAACATTCAGAAAAGCCAACCGTGACTTTCAGGATTAAAATGGAACCTGTCTGCTCCACCCACCCAACAGCGTTCCTCATGTTACCTTAGTCAGAATGGTGGGTCATGGGTCTGAATTAGCTGAAAACCCCTGTACTAGTAATGTACAAAGATGCTACTGGATGCAAACAAAGTACACTAATGTACTTAACACGTCTTGCTGTTGTAATGCCTTACTTGACTGTCCCTGTGGCATCGTCACACTAAAGCATTCACAGGATTTCCTTCTCCATTTATTACTTCATTTCATTAACTAAAGCACAGTTATGTGTTTATGCTTTGCTGCTTCTCATAAACAGCATGTATATCTTAATGTACAGCATATCCAGTGTGGTGTGATCATTCACATTTAAGAATATCCTGTTGGGCAGATTGAAGGGTCTGGATCATTTGTGCTGAATAAAGCTCAAATATATTGGTATATTAGCCCAAAAAAGAAGTTCCTGTGCTCCTATGATTTCTAGGACTGGGATGTGGAAGCAACATGATAATTTCAATGATTTCAATAAACCTAATTCGCTGGTGTTTAGAAACCTTTAAGACATCAGGTTAATAAAGTGAAATATGAAATGTAGATCCTCTGTTAGGATGTCTGTTATTATGGATAAGAACATTCCTACATTTTATTTCCAAACTGATTTCTTCCTCTTTAGATTATTAACCATAACAGCTCCATCACTGCATCGGCTGCATGGGAGTGGACTGAGCGTCACACCAAAGAGTTAGGTTCATTTGAGCTCCAGCAACTTATAAAGGATGGATTTATACCTACCTGTACCATAACACAGACAAGAACACTGGCATTGAAAATAATGTATTGAGGCCGATATGACTTCAAATAAAAATCTGTACACTTGAACACAGAATATAAAACCTATTTTACTTGGAATGGCAAACCTGTTCTTCCCCTCACAGTGGGATGTGAATCACAGTGTCACACTTGGCTTCACCAGACAAGCAGAAAGATCAGCGGGATGAGTCTTTGCTTGACCGCAGAACAGGGAAGATTAAAGGCTGAAGGAGCCGGGCCAGCATCAACGGCAATGACATCACAAAAGAAGGTATCGGCACCTGTTGCCTCACCAGTCCACCTGTTACTTGAAGAACACAGTTCCACCTAGTAAAGCCAAAGGCGAAGGAGAGGACAGACATGCTGCTTTGCCTGATGTGCTGTTTAATCCCTCTTCATCTTTTTGTATGCATCCAATTTCATTTTATTGGGAAATATTTGATATTCATCACAAACTATGTATTCAGGTATAAATACATAACCCTATATGTGGTTTCTGCATATGGAGGTGGCATCGTATTAAGAGTTTAAAATTAGAAGAAAGTCTTATGTGTCATGGGCCCCAACATGTACAAATTAATATGTACATGAATGGAAACCCTTTCATTCTTAAAATCTCAGATGCTAGTACTGAAGTACACAGAATATGAAATCTAGTCTCTACTTGCAGGAATCTCAGTGAATGGATGTTTGATGATTATAACCTCTTGCATTTCACATTCTCCCTCAGTTTGAATCATTAATAATGTCTTTCAGGGTTCACACCCACAGAGGGCATTTGTATTATGGCCAGACTAGAGTTCTGTGCAACACTGTCATTGTTGACAGACAGTGGAACAAAGCCAAATGGGGGACAGGTCCTGTCTAGCCACTCTTGCTCCACCCTCTCAGGCTTCTTGACAATAGAAGATGTGAATCCTCTCACAAAACTAAGCAGAATGGTGTAGTGGCTATCTTCTCCATCTGTAAATATAAAACACAAGGTGTGAGGAAACACAGATGTTTGGCTGTTCTGAAAAACCAACAAAGAAGCTTCTTGGCATCTCACTTACATCTTAAGACATTTGTCCTTCCCACCACTGGCAACTCTTTGTCCATCAGGACTCCAGTCTACTGCATAAACCTACATACATGAGACACAGGACAATTAAAGGGGGGAAAAAAAAAAATACATTCAGTACAACCATCATGAAGCCGGACAATTTTCCTTCCCTCACCTCATCAGCGTGGCCAGGTAGGTCCATGCTCAGCTGTCCAGTCTTAATGTCCCAAACTTTAAGCGTGCTATCGCTGCTGCCACTGACCAGCAGTCTACTGTCTGCTGACCATGCCACTTGATACACAGATCCCACATGGCCACGCAGGGACATTAGGTACCTGTGGGCAGGTAGACAAAAAAATAAAGCAATAAAAATACACAGTGACAGACAGAAAATCTGCTAACAGCACCATCTCTGGGACAACCACAGTATTACACATAACACATTTCTGCACTCAGTATTAAACAAGATGGTTGAGACATTTTCTTACTTTCCAGTGCGTCCGTCCCAGATTTTAATGGACTTATCAAAGGAGGCAGAGGCGAGGAGCCTGGTGTCTGGAGAGAAGAGCACTTCATTGACCAGAGCACTGTGGCCAGTCATCCTAGCCAAAGGCTTCTTGTCTTCTGCAGGGTTCCACAGGAACAAAGTGAAATCATCTGAGCCAGACACCAAACGCTCTGGAGCTGACGCCTACAGCATGACAACAAAAGTTAAGGCACTGATGCAGGAACATACCAGAGGGAAAGATAGGTTTGAACAAATCACAATAAGCAGCACTTACCCTGACTTTATTATATCTCTGAAGTGCTTTCTCCTTCAGCTCTTCCACTGGGTGAAAAAAAAAAAGAAAAAAGCTTGTTACAATAAACACCTGCTTGGAAATATCTAAGCCTGCATCTCATAAGAAAGCAGCGTCACTTACATGATCCAGTGAGGTCCTGGGGGTTGACAGTGGCAGTTGCAGGTTCAAAAGCGCCAGTGCGCAGGACGTAGTCTGTGCTGAGGGCCAATGTGTTCACCCAGTGGGCGTGACCCTGCAGCGTCCTGCACTGGACCCCCTATATCCGCAGATAGAAATAAACAAATTACATCTCCCCTTCTCATTCAACTCATTCTGTATGTAATGAGCAACATTTTGCCAGCTGCGCGCACACACACACACTTACATCTTTGGCTCTCCAGACTTTGACTGTCCTGTCCTGAGAGGAGGTGTACAGAAGTCCATCTCCTCCCCACTTCACACAGGTGACCGACTGAGTGTGTCCAGTGAGGATCTTCTCACAGCGTCCCAACACAGTGTCCCAGATACGTACTGAACCGTCCTTAGAGCTACTGGCTAAGTACCGACACTCTGAGTTACTGGCAGTGAGAGGAAGAAGCGCGATCAACAAAACAGTGCATCAGGACAAAATACTGAAAACAAGGTTTCCCGATTCTAAATCAAACAAGCCATGGCAACATGTCTGGGTGAGTCAATTCATTCAACTTCTATACCTCCATTCAATCTCTTATTCAGTGTTTCCTTCATTCTGAAGAAAACTAATCATGGGGTTTACTTGCCATGTTCTAAGACAAATAAACATCCACTATGACAGCTGCTTTTAGTAGAAACCTTCCAATTTTAACAACATTAAGCAATGATTAGCATACAAAAAAAAAAACCCACCATTAAAATGTACCATTATGACATGTATTTCACTGCAATTTGCATTAATCCATATCCATTATACTCATCAACACACTCTTCTAAAGTCTTTTTTTTTGCTTCTAAGTTGTTTGCTATTACAGAAAACTACAACCCTTCAACTCATCAATACGCTCTTCTAACAAATTACAGACTGTCTAGGAAGTAAGTGAATGGGAAATGGTGCCTATAGGGCAGCTGTGGCTCAGGAGGTTGAGCATTGATTTGTTCACAGGGTTGGTGGTTCAATTCCCAGCCTCACTGCTATCTGTGAATGGGAAGGAAACTATAAAGCTCTTTGTCTACCAAGATACAAAAAGTGCTATGTAAGTGTCATTTTTACCCACTAGCACCAACCTGAAGCATTTTACCACCAACCATGATGTTCATTAGTGGTATAATGCAAAGGTACTCCCACCAAGAGTCAAAAAATGTTTTCTATGAAAAGCTGTATAGCTGTAATTTTACCATTTCACGAGTAAAACATATCAGTGCAGAAGATGCATCTGAACAGGACTTTAGATGAGCACTGAAATAACATGCAGCACTTTACAGAAATGAGAAGGTGATGAACTCACAGATGAAGAGGTTCCCAGCAGAGCCAAGTGATCCACTTTGTGTGTCCTGTCAAAGTCTTCCCTATCTGTGTACCCGTCACAGGATCCCAAAGACATATCTACAGGAACAGCCCCATCAAAACAGAAATACCTCATGTTCATGATGGGATACGGTACATCTTAGAAATACACAGCTCAGGGGTTTTTAGAAGCTTACCTGGCTGTTTTTGCATCCTGAAGCCAGTTTTCTGCCATCAGGTGACCAGGCAATGCTCAGTACCCAATGTGTGTGCCCTTATATCCAACAGAATACAGTTCAGTGGTGTCTAAAACCATTCATCTGTTATTTGTAGTGCGATAGCAGATCACCTTATAGAACTGATTTTACCTCTGGCAGTGTGGTGGGGCGTCTCCGTTGTCAAGTCCCAAAAACGTACTGTAGTATCACCTGAACCACTGGCCAGATATCTAACAACAAAGACAAATTAATTAACAGCATGCCCAAACCTACTCATGGAGTGTGTCTTCAGAACATAATTTATACTTTAATCCCCTAGAATTGCTGCTCTTTCATAAGAACTCTTGGATAAATGAGAGTACAAGAAAGCATGCAAACAGACAAATATCTCCGTGTAAGAGTTACTCACTTGCCAGTGGGGCTGAAGGCAGTTGAGATGACAGCTTCAGTGTGTCCCTGTAGTGTGCTGGTACAGCGGGCCACAGCTCGAACCCTGAACACAGCCTGAGGCTGGTAAACAACTGGCAGGACCTGCTCGGTCTCAACTCCAAGAGCCTTCACGCAAGACCCCAGACTGGTTACCACCTCAGCCTCTCCATGCACAAAAAAAGCCAGTGGTACTGGCTCATCCTGAACAAAAGCAAACAAGATGCATTCACAGGATTTACAATTTCAACTTTATATGACCTCATTAATAATGTCTAACATAAGTTAAAATAAAAATCAATGTATTCCCCATGACATCTTTAGAAATGTCTTTTTTCTAGAATACCGAAGAGTTTATAAATTTAGGGATAATGACATTTGGTTACTTGAATACTGTTATTTAAATTTAGAAATTACCATATTAAAGTTGCCATGAAAACAGTGAGATCAAGACTTCGATAACACAGAGACAAACATTTCCCTTTAAACGTGAATAGCAGTGACGGACAAACATACAAGATCGAAATGCCTCTATGTACAGTTTAATCACAACTTAAATTATATTTATACACTGAAATGCCAATTTAATAGTCACACCTGTACAACTGCATGAAATCCATTGCAACACTTCCACCATAACATCTGTGTTTATGAACCTCAAAATGTTTTAGTATTTATTGAAAGTGTCATAAATGTATAAATTAAATTATAATGGAGTCCAGTACAACGAAACTTTTAACTATGACCTAAATAATAAACATATAACTGGATTTGGCCGGTCAGTGTGTAAGATAATGCCAGCTGGTTACCTTCTGTAGCAGTGCATTGCAGACCAGTTGCAGTTTATCTGGGGTGATGTTTAAAGGCACATCAAATGGTGAACCCAGAATCTGTCCATCCTCGTCCTGAAACCGGATCAGCAGCCGCTCCACGTCCTCACTCGTCATGCTGTTCGGTTTTGACACAACACAAATGAAGCTATGTACATATCCTATTTTGTGACTAACGTTATACCTTAGTTCACTACGAGGCGTCATCATTTCTCAAAGTTGTCATGACAGTACCATATTATAGATTTATGTTTAGGATTGTTATTATAAAGCTTGAGCAAACCCTGCCACCTGAAATCAGCTGGTAAACGGTTTACTTCTAGCTAGCTTATGTCAACCAATAAAACTAACTCCACAAGCCTACTGTTAGCCAGCATTACAGAAACATAAGTACTTTTAGCAGCGACAGCAGGGCAGGACAATAACTATCAGTTATTCACACAAGTGTTTTCAGTTTATATGAAATTAGCTTGAGACATAAATGTACTCAACCTTTATCTTCAGGCTATACCTCCCCCCACGTGCGTTCTTGTTCTTCTCCTTCTTCTTCTTCTTCTTCTTCTTCTTTTGCGGTAGTTAGCATTCTAGTGTTGCATTACCGCCACCTCGTGTCTATAGTCCACGTCAATCCCCGTTTCCTTATATTTTACGGTCCAGTTGTTCTCGAACAGCCAAACAAACACCTTCTCCGCTGCCCAGTACTAACATATTCTAAAATAATTTTCAAACTGCATTTTGTCATGCTGTTTGTTACCTAAGCATCTGTAATTGAGTAATCATCAACACGCGTGCATAGCGCCGAACAGCCTTTTCAATGAAAGAAGCTCCGGGAGGCAAATGTTGTCAAATCAGTAAACGGACTCTCGCAATGGATTATATGAGAGAATTGTGACATTATGTGTTGTTACTACAAAATAAAAGGCTCAGTTAGACTTGAGTTTTAATTTAACTCACCTAATATGTGTTGTATCGCACTGATTAGTCATTAACATTGGAGGTGAAAAGTTCTTTTTTTCATGAATACAATAGGATGTCAATGAACGTTCACAAATAACTGCTGATTTTCAGTTTAAATTACACATTTCCTGTACATCTGCATCAGCAAGAAAACAAATGTCCTGTTTGCACATTTTTTAAAAAGAGGCCATTATTATCACATGAATTTCAAAGCCATTTTTCAATACCTTCCTAACAATCCATACTTAATATATTTCATTACAACAATGAAACATACATTTATGTACAACACCGTTTTGTTGCTGTTACGGTGTTCACTATATCAATTCACAATATCAATCAACCAAATATGACACGTATGTATGCACACAGAGAACTTTTCTTTGACAACAGTTATCTTTTTTGCACTAGAATAGAAAAGACATGAATTACATTAATGTGAGAAACTACAATTATGTTTCTAGCAAGCCAGATAAATAATCTTTTCTTTAAAAGAAAAGACTTCTGTGTGAATTTACAGGGAAGATGAATATAAAGCGAGATAGCAGTGAATTTGTTCTCATTTTTTGAGCCCTTCCAAGGCAGCACACTTTGGCTCCAGGATCTGCAAGATTGGAAACAATGATAGATCCAAGAATGAAACACCCTGAAACAATACACATTTCCTGCTGCAAATACACACTTAGTGGCCATTTTTCTATATATACCTGTACAATTGAATGCAGATCACTGAACTGCTCTGCCATAAATTCTACCTTTACAAAGATTATGTAATTGTTGACACTGCGATCACTGCAGTCACAGATAAAGGTATAGAAGTCCATTTATGCCAGTTAAAGAACAAATAAAGAGGAAAAGCTAGTCATGATGAAAAAATGGATCATGGATATTGTAATGGACTACATTATATTGAGGCCAATGAAATGGCCACTGAGTGTTTAAGAGGAAGAATCTTATTTTTGTCACTGTTGACAGTAAATGGGAAATGTGTCAGTATAATGTCTGTTATTCAGTTTACTGTATATCCTATGAAGTACTGTAGCAGTAGTAATAATATGATAACAGGTGCAGTACACTAGAAGGTTATGCTGGATACTCTTAGGATGGGCATATCTGTTTTTATTCATAGTTACTTATACTATTTGCACTATTTCCGATCACAGAGTTCACTCACATCTGGCATTATTCTAACGGTGAATGTTAATGAGTACAGACTGCAGTGTCTTGCGACAGATATAACACACTCAGCAAAGCAACAATAATAAGGCACTGCAATAGAACAAAGTAGAACTATGATGTGACAGGGGTACACTCACCTGGAAGCCAGCACTGAGGCCAGTGAGGCTTTGCATGTTTGTACTGTAGTAACCCAAAACATACTGTCCACCTAGTAGGGGGATCTCATCCTTATCCACAGATATCTGTAACCAAAACACACATACATATTAATAAAGCATATATTCATATAATATTTGTCAAAATATGATACAAATGTCTCACTATCTGTTTACCTGTATGACCTCACTTATCTCTGGCAGCTCCCCCTCTCTAACCCAAATAAAGGTTTCGTAATCGGATACACTCTTAAATCCCACCTGCCAGAGAACAACATTGAGCTCATATCTGATATCTGTTATATTGTTTGGTTTTTCACCTCTGTGTGTGTCCCAGTACCTTGTACAGGCCTATCCAGTCCCATGTGGAGGACATGAAGTCCTCTAGGATGGTGTAGTTAAGGACTCCATCCTGGTCAGCGCTCCACACACCCACAGGAGATACATCCACCAGTGGTGTGTCAAAGCACTTTCTCAGCTGTGGAGAAAAAGAGGAAGAGGAGCTTTAAAAATGTAGATAAGGCCCTTTTACTTAGAAGAAAGTGAGCAAAGGACTGAGTAGCACAAGACAAAGTCCTAGTGCCCAACAAAAAGTCTGCTCTCACTTCAAGACTGAAGGTTGCAACGACAGGCTTGTGGTCACTGAGTCCATAGCTCATGATACTGGTATATGTTTCCTGGGTGACCAGGACTGGATATTCATCTTGTCCTTTATCAGTAGAAGTCGATGTCTTCTCATCATTATCATCATCATCATCATCCTCTGGTGGTGGGCTTTTAGGGTTGATGCGCCAGAGGATCCGATCTGTCCAGGCTGGTTTCCTCTTCTTGTTGCTGAGTGAAGCAAAGTGTTGATAGTTTCTATCTGAGAGCTACTAAAACTCATGTTTCTAATGCTTACCTGATACTTCCATAATCATGAAAATCTAATTTACAATTCTGATTATGTTAAAAAAAACTGGAAACAGTGCTGTTAAAGAACACAAGTCAGACATACATGCAACACAGGACTGTGCCTACAGTGTAGCATGCTGTAGAGAAATGATGGATATCAGAGGCAGACAATATCATTTGCTATGGTATTACAGCCTATGAATACACACATTCATGATAAAAACCAACATGTACATTATACAGGAACAAAGAGTGAGATGCAGGGTGCAAGAATTTGCAGATCACATCTGAAATTCTTCAGTTACTAAAGTCCTTGGTGAAAAAAGACAGATGGTGTGGTGACAGATGAATAAGGGAATGTGGAGCATACAACACAAAAAACATAAAGTATGTCTTACTTAAAACCCAGCCATGTCTTTGGAGGACTGTACAGAATTCAAATGGAAACAGGTGAAGTTTAAGCAAATGTTTTTGAAGCACCATTCAATTTTTGTGTGTAGTAGACTTGTTTGTAGCACATATTACCTGGTATCATAGCTGTCAGAGTTACGGTCAAACTTGTAGGTGGGTTTAAAATTTAAAGGACCTTCCTCAAATTCCTGCAGGAAGGGCTCCTGCTTCTTCATCATGGTCAGCTGCAGAGACAGGAAATAAATTAGTGAGTGTGTGTTATTGTGTGTGTGTGTGTGTGTGTGCGCGCGCTCATTTTAGCACACCACCTGGTCTTTGCTCCACAACAAATGAAGGCGTCCACTGTTGATGGACGAGCGAAGGAAGTGCAAGCCGTGGTCCGCAATACGAAAGTTCAGGTCACCAAACCAGAACACCACCCTGTCAGAGTGAGATAGAGTATCACTGTACCAGGCATTTAACAACCCATAGTGTATATTTTGCACAGCATGTGTATTTGTGAGCATGTAAAGTTTTGTGTCTATATGTGTATGTACTCACTTGTGGTCCAGGACATGTGGGGTGTCTGAGATGTCAAAGTCTTGTGCCTCCAGGATGTATTCAAACTCATCAACACGCTGCAGAGCATAATTCATATGTGCTGCTAGGTGGCAGCTGAGGAAGCACACCATGTGTCCGTAGAAGGAAAAGCGCACAGACACTGCTCCTTTATTACCCTGACACAAATAAACACATGGGGTGGCATGAAGTATGTAAAGCCATAGTCATAGCTGACCAATCACATGTACAAATATAAATTACTGTACTTACTGTATTTATAAAATATATAAACTGTTTTTAAATAAAAATATACAGTATATACTGCTGTTTTCCATGAATGAAAAAGTCATCATCTTTATTTAATTAGATGATGTTTTCCCTTTAATTTGGATTAAATCATTTGTCTTGCAAGTGTTGGCCCCAGTGTGCCACTTTACCAGTTTTACCACTAAGTGTTCTTTGTGCCTGTCCAGGGTGTACCCCCCTTTCGCCCGCAGCTGGCTGGGATTGGCTTTCTTTGTGCTTTGTGCTTCAGTCAAAGCTGTTGCACATTCCACTCAACATGCACAATAGGCCTTTCATAAGGTGCTTATACTCTGCAGCATCTGATACCAGAGGGATTCCTGGTGTGCAGAGTTGTCTGTGAGGTTCAGTCTAGTACTAGCCAGCGCTCCCATTATGATTTCCTACCCAGTAGCCGAAGACACCCGTTCGAGTGTAGGTGGTCTGGATGTTTCTGATGTAGGGGAGGTGAATTTGTTTGGTGAACACCAGCAGAAGCAAACCCTGCATCCTCACTGATGTGACCTAGACATAGATTGAGATAGTGAGAAATTTTATGAATAATTTTAATTTAGATTTAGTCATTTTTAACAAAAATGCTTTTCATTCACTTTATCCCCTATTTACAGCTAAAAGAAAAATGTATGGCATTAAATTCAAATTGTAAACAAACACTCATAATCCCAAAATATCCCTAAATGCCTTTAAAAGTGCTGTATAAATAAAATGCATTACGATTGAATATAGGTACGTAATGTTAAAATGAAAGAAGGTATCTGAGGATTTTTAAGCAATGGTTATGTTTTACAATTTTGAGTAGCATTTAGGACATTCTTTTTTATTTCAGTTGTTCACACACATCCACATACAAACACTGTCCTTTCTCACCTTGACAAAGCCTCTGGGTGCCAATGTGTCCATGAAGACATGACTCCAGGAGTCCTCCACCAACAGGTCAGAGATAAACCTTGCTAGGGTGGATTTCACCTCCTGCAGGCTGACACACACATAAGAGCACAATCCAGTGAAAAACACAGGACACTAATCTAGGAGAGCTTTTCTTTGTTTTCCACATTAATAAAATAAACGCTTTTGTCCTTCAGTACAATTCCTGGCAAAGTTTTAATTTCCAGCTTCCGTTTTGTTTCTCACCCAATCGCATAGAGGTCTGTGGGGGGCTCGACATCCAGTTGCAGCAAAGATGTGACGTCTTCAGGAGGCTCCGCTGTGGCTACGTTCCAGGTCACTATGTGTAGCCTGTCAGTGTATGTTTTTAGTAATGACAGGGATTGTGATGAAAACAGGAAATATCAGTTACATCGTTACATTTTCCCCAAGTTTTAAATGCTAGACTAAGAGGTATATTTTCATGGTGATTTAGAACATTCTTATTCATTTCTAAAACATACGTTACACTGCATTCAACAGTTTGTTGGATCCTTGAACACTGAAAGGATAATAAAGTAAAAATACAGAAGACATTAATCATTTATTTTTTCCACATTCACAGTTTTTAATCTTAAATGGATAATTGGAAACCATGAGGAACTGTCAGAATGTAATAAACCCAGACATGAACCACATACATCTTTGCAATTGTTAATCTTTAATAACAATCAGAAATTGTTAAAAAGTTCTTGATTATTTGAGTGAAATCAAACTGTGTAAACTCATCATATGTGAGGATCAACCTGAATGCCTCTGTGGGAACGAAGCATCCACAGAGCTGAAACACTTCATCCAGTGTGTGGGACACTTCTTCGCCGGCTTCATCATCAGAGCTCATGTCCTCTACACAGGTCAGCAGCTGGGACAAACGCTGGCGGAGGAGCATTTTGGACCTGGAGCCTTGAGACGTTGAGCTGCCCGTGCTGTCTGAGCGCACACGGAGACTGTCCGTCAAGGGGTCCATTTTTGGATTTTAGATTAAAAAAGGGCTTCCTGGTGTTAGCTATGTTACCTGTCTTGTGAAGGTTATACAAGATTACTCAAAAATAAAGATGCCCTGCAAAAAGCAAAGTCCAGTAGCATATAAGAAAGACACTGGGCTTAATTCCTTGGTTGGTTCAGTTGCAGCCATATGATGTGAAAGACCTCCACTGTGTTCAGGCCACTGGACGTAACAAGACCTGTTCCTCAGTAGTCATATCTTTCCCCATGCACTAGGTCCTCCAAACTGACCTGGATGAAAAACTGAAAAGCCCAGTGAAACGCGTCTTGGTCTGTGCTAGTTCTGTCCTATCTGTGGCAGCATAGTCCTGTGTGGTCATGCAGTGATGCAGCAATGACTGAGAAAGCAGTGGGGTCAACTCAAAAATGTGGGCTAGAACGAGCGTTCTCTCAGCTAAGTACACTGAACAATGCATGCAGCCCCACAACTGTAGCAGTGCATCAGTCAGGGGAAAGCAGCACACGGTAGCTCTCTCAGCCTCACTTCAGTCTCTCTTCTCTTACAAGTGAACAGTTATTTTTGTAAACCCAGAGAAACATGGGGATTAATGCAGTTTTGTAAGCTCTGACTCAGACATCTTAGGGGTTTTAAATAACAAAAGCTCACAGTTAATAGCAGACACATTATATAACGGATTTAGAAGTACACAATGTCTGCTACTTAAATGATTTTAAAACCCCAATGTGGTGAGATGTTTTCAATATTTGATGAAAAGTTTAGTTTCAAAATAAAAACGCCTGCTTTGTAAAATGTATCTCAGAAATAAAATGACTAAGATTAGAAATACAAGTCTCTGGCACATGAACAAACTGGATTTTATTGCTTAGAGATCCTGAGCTATACTCAAGAAACTTGCAAAATAAATCTATGATTAATCACTGACTTTTAGCAAATTAAATCTGACCAATTTAATACAGTGTTCACACACTGGATCACTAATTCTGAAACTATGGGCCGAATCATACAGTAACTGTGGTTAATGGTTAATAAAAAGTCAATTAAATTAAAATTAATATATATTTTGTTAATTGTTATCAAATGGTTATCAAAAGTAATGGTAATTAATGATTGCATTTTTGGGGGATTACATTATATATATCATTTTGGATAGTATCTAACTGATTAAGTTTTGGGAAACATCTTTACAAGTAAATAACAGCTCTCATCCTCTTATGAAAACAATTCTGATTGAGTCACTATATGATAAAATGGTAAAAGACTCCATATTGATATATTCATCTATTGTACATGTACTTCCATAATATGCCTTTTGCTCTATCCAGTTTATGTTCACTTGCTTTAAAAATCAACACATATCAATGGATTGTGCAGTAAAATTATTTTTAAATCTTCTTTTTAAACATCCAATTAATTAAGGCTCTACAGTATAGCTCAATGGTCCAGTATTCTTGAATCACCAGTAAAGTAATCATTGCTGATTTTATTGATATGTGAATTGCAAACAAATTGTGAAATAGTTCAAATCCTTTGAAGAAATGTTGTTCAAGTTGTTTCCAGGGCTTTAGGAAATTTACCACAAAGTTTTGTTATGAGTCAAATGTACCCACGGCCCCTTGAAACTGCAACAATCAAGGGTCCTACACTGAAACCCTGTCTTCTTTTTGCCTGTGACAAAGGTAATCAAATGAGATCACTGCTCTTGTGTTACAGTGCACATTTTTATAAAAAGCACTAACACCAGAGGTTATCTACAGTTGCTTTGCTTCTTTTTATTCATTTCTTTACATCTCCAATGTACTGTAGTGTTATTGGAAGATAAGATGACAAAAAGGCACAAATTCACAATAAAAGAAAGGAAAAACAGGAGACGAGTTAACAGGAGTGAGAGAGCAAGAGAGAGAAAGAGTTTTAACTTTTTAAAAACAGTTTGGGATTGTGGGATCATTTGGTTCCATACTGATAATAAAGCGAGGAATCTAACAACAGATATCTATGAGATTGTCTCTGTTAAACTGTGTTCTCTCTCCATTTTGCGTGGTACCTTCATTGTTGAAAAATGAACCTACTGTCGCTGTTTTCAAACAACCTTTTTTCCAGTGTAAGCACCAACCCACCTGGTTGAAGCTGCTCTTAAATGTAGAATAACTCCCCTTGATCCTAGTCATTAACCACAGGAGGGCAAAAATCTGACTCCATCAGCAATTATGTGGATCAATAAACTGACCCAAGCTGCCGTCATACAGTACGTTCCTTTTCAGTGAAAGACGCATGTAGTTCAGAGACTGACAACAGAAGTACAACATTCAGAACAAAAATATATATTTATACACTGTCCTGCCAATAGGACATGGCCCCAAATGTGAAAAGAGGAGGACGTGGTTCACTAGGTTTCTGCTTTTTTCATTTTTGTACTTTAGCTACAAACACAGCAACTCAGCTCTCCGCTGCTTTGCTGAAGCATCCTAAAGGTGGCAGCAAAATTATCTACAACAATGCTCAGAATGATTTTTATCTCTACAGCTGACAT